ACTGAACACACAGTCTCCCTCCAAGCTCCCAGCTGATTTCTATAAGGATAGTCGCTTCGTTAAGACTGGATATGAGAGTGAGATGATCACTGACAATGTTTCCAAGTCTGACAAAGGATTCTACAGGTGCAGCATCTCTTGATCCCACAAGTGCAGCATTTCTGGATCTCAGGGAAACTGACTATCCTACAAAAGCAGGCTGCAGTGATAAAGAATACGACTTAATTTTCAGCCTCAAAATTACCCTCCCATAATTAAGTTCCACTTTGAAATGGAGGGATGACAGAATACCTGAAGAAAAACATTAATATAAATACCACTATAGTTGTATTATAAAAGACAGACCACAGCAACAACAGTGTCAAATCTGAATAAATAAATAAACACAATTACAACAAGTGTCAAATCTTATACAAATAAATAGTACTGACCAGCAGGAAGTACAGCATTTCTCTGTGTGGTCCAGATGGGTCCAATTTTGATTGATAGTTGAGATTGTGCTGCAATTAGAATACAGAAACCATACTGAAATAAATACAAACTAATCCAAAAACCACAATAAGATGAATAACTAGATTCATAAAGTGCAAAAATACGATACATAATGGCAAATAATACATAATGAACAATACACAATAATTAAACATCAAAATAATATAAACTTACATTAATACACGCACTCCTACTAACACCAATCCATGTTACCTTCATAGTGCTTAAAATACACTTATAACATTAACATGCTCCTGCCGTAGCGTATCTCCCCTCTCTCTACACACGCGCACACGCAGCGGTCGGCCACATCAAGAGAACATCGCCACCACATGGCGGCTCAACCCATCTATGTAAACACTAAGCATGGCGTGTACCCCAAAGCTGAGATTGGCTCTCTACGTCAACTTAAGATAACTTGAACATTTATACATGTTATAAAGCACTTTAAAACATTACAATGCTTGAAAAAGGCTTTGAATACACATTTAGGTACTGAATTATCTGTTACTGAACAACAATGAATTCACGGTAAAAGTAACACTAGTTCAACAGTACCAAAATACTCTTTAAACCAACAGCAAGTACTTGAAATCATCACAGTATGTTCGCAACACTTTCGTTTTACTACTACTCTAGTATGCATTACAATCTCAAAACCTTTACTAGCGTAAAGCAATGCAAGAATAGCAGTGTAAAACGGTCACATTTCAGGACTTACGTGCTGCGGTTCAAATTTTCACAAACTCACCTCAAAGTTATACAAATTATCACAAAAATATCGTTCGCTGGTAAACAAGTAAAGCGAAGCTTAAAGCTTTCATTTGTGATCGTTTCAACCGAGTACTAACCTGTGAAATAAAGGTAAAGCTTTGGAGCAATGCTGGCACGAAAATTCTACTTCAGCATATTTTCAGGTATGACAATGTTCAGCTCCTCAAGGACATTTATGCTCCTTTCAGAGCTTTTCTTAACTTCATACATTTATAATATTTAGCTTTATTCTGAAAATCTTGCTCCATTCAAATGAATGGGAAAATTCTACTTCAGCATAATTTCAGCTATCTGAATGTTCAGCTCCTCAAGGACATTTATGCTTCTCTTCAGAACTTTTGTAAACTTCATACTTTTGAAATATTTAGCTTTATTTTGAAAATCTTGCCCCATTCAAATGAGTGGGGGAAATTTTGACTTCTGCATACTTTCAGCTATTTCAAGTATCAAAATGTTCAGCTCTTCAAGGACATTCATGCTTCTTTTCAGAATTTTTCTGAACTTCATACTTTTAAAATATTTAGCTTTATTCTGCAAATTTTGCCCCATTCAAATGAATGGGAAAATTCTACTTCAGCATACTTTCAGGTAGATAAGCCTTTCAGGTGTCAAAATGTTCAGCATTTTCAGGGGGATCCTTCAGCACACAGCATCCACACGCATTTACGACAGGAAATGCATTTCTCTAGTTCTAAATGGTTGCCTTCTAATACGAAAAAATATCAGAACTTAAAGGTAGCATAAGACTAACCCTAGGACAAAAAAGTCAACCATAATAAGCTAAACAGACTAATTTTCATCAAGACTAGCAGTTTTGATGAAATATTTTATGCGCAGCCGGCTTTGAGATGGTT